ACAGACACACTGATGGACTCACGTTATACAACTAGAAATGCTACAGGATGGCCCACACTTTCTTGTAATAGTTATGTATTTCATTTTGTCTGGGCTGGCTATTCGGACTTGTTACAAACTCTTGCCACATTCCATCTATCGCAACCCAAAGTACATTTTTTCGATATTTTCCTCAATTTTTCGATTTTCTAATAGTAGAATCGAAATATTACTTTAAGAATATTACAGAACTGTACAACCTCGACCTATTTGGAAATTTTCGCTGAAAAATTTGGAGCTGCTCTTCACAAAATGGCGTTAGGCACAAATCAATTAAAAATTTGAAGCTCTTCACATAAATCTTTTGAGTTAAATGAAGACATTTGTGACACTACCACTCATAAATGCAATAATGTATAGAAATTGCTGGAAATGTGCAAATTAACGGCGTGAGAGGTATTTAAAGAAATTACCCTAGTGTAACTAAAAACAAAACAAAACCAATGGATTCAGCAAAATTAATTTTTTATCCATCTTAAACAGTACAATTAGCATTATCCGTACGAAAACTTTCAAGAAAAATGTTTGGACTCGTTCAGAAAATTGCGTTTGAGCTTTTCTGATAATGCACAATTTTGAGCTCTTTTTCACCAAAACATTTTGTTTGCATGAAAACGTTATAAGACATCGTTTAAAGCACATTTATTCATAAATACAACGTGAAAACTAATGATGGACAACACATTTTATATGAAAGAAAAATCTCAATCTTCAATTTAGTAGTTGTAGGAAGACGGCGAAAAAATCAAACTTTTGCAATTTAAAAAATGCAGAGTTAACAGTGAACATTTTTTGGTGTATTTTTCTTTATTATTACAAGAAATTTTAAGAAATAATTTGAAGCCATTTTTGAGAAAATTTTATAAATGTGCCAAGGGCTTCATGTAAAGAACCCCCAAAGTTTTAAAGAATATGTTTCAAAATTACAAATCTTGGAGTCGAGCCAGGTCGACCAAGGAATATCAATTTGAAGAAAAAAAAAGACTATGTATGTTTTTGGCGCTAGTGGTTTTCACAGTCGGTCGGCCAGACATAACCGGACAACCATCTAAAGCTAGCTAAAACCAAATTCAACCAAATTATATCCAAACTTTTAGGCGATTTAAGTGCTCTATTCCCGAATTTTATGATTTCCCAAAATCGTGCGCGTTGTGAGAATTACACTAGAGCTAGGGGCGCTCACCTAGAAAATCGTTCTAAAAAATCAATTCAAGAACATAAAAACAGGCCAAAATTTTAGGGCTAATTTTGAGGCTCTAGGGAAAAACATTATTCCTGCATTTTGTATTCCAAAAACCAAGGCTGAATAAGGAGAAATAATTAACATTGGTTCTTATGGGCGAATAAACGTCAAAATTCTAAAACTGTGTGAAAATGTTTCACCAATTTGAGGCTCCAGGAAAAAAATATTCCCGCATTTTTATTCCAATTTGACGTCAAAATTGATTGACAAAAATTAATACTCAACTATTTTCCACCGTATCTACATTTTTTTCATCCTGATAGATGCAATACAAGCAGAGAACAATAAAACAAAAACACGTTTCTCGACAGAGTGCCTCAGGAGACTGATATTAGGAATCTAAAGCGTTTTAATCTCTTTCATAAGAAGCAACGCGATTATTGATTGGGTTTTGGGACACTTTTCACTGAGAAAAAGTTATACAAATTATCATCGTTCATGGGTATGGTTTCATTTGTTTCTGAGATTTTTGGTTTATTCGTCCCAAAGAACGTATGTTAATTGTTTCTCTTTGTACAAGCTTGATATTTCGAGAAATAATGCAAGAATATTTTTTTCTTCTCAAATTAGCCTTAAATTTTGAGTAGGGATACATATTGTTCCTGCAGTTTTATGATTTTATTATTTGCCTAAAAGAACATTGGTTAATTATTTTTATACAGTCTTGATTTTTGGAATAAAAACGTGTGAATAATTATTTCCTAGCGCCGCATATTAATTTTAAATTTTGCATAGTGTTTCAGTTTTTCTTTAGGTTTTTTCTGTTTTTGTTTGTAAAAAGTTTAAAAATTGACTTCAACACCGAAACCTCAATCTTGAATTTTTGAATTGAATTCAATCCTTATTCTGTACATAGTGTAAAGATAAGGAAAATTAAAATAGGGTATAGTAAAAATTAAAAATACCCTAGACCACAAGACCAAATTAGATTTATAAAACCAATCGTTTTCTCATTTGACCATAATTTATTACAAAAACTTCCACCAATTTGAGTTTTAGGAACATTAAAAAAATATTAATTTTTCAATTTTTTTTTGTAAGATCTTGTAAATCTACTCCTGTCCTCCAAGATTAATATTCTATTTCAATACCTACATGCTTACACACCACAAGAGTTTCCACACACAAGTGATATTGAGAAAAAGTGGATGAAATTTAATATTGATTTTTAAACAATTTTTCAAATATTTACTAGGCTGTCCGGGTGTCGCCGCGTCCATGGCGAAGGTGCCGACGTTTCGGTCGCCATTCTGGAGCTTACCCTTCAGCGTAATGCAAGCGTAATTAAGAGGAATGGCGACCGAAACCGGGCACTTCGGCCATGGACGCGGCGCACCCGGACAGCTAGAAAACTCTGAATCCGCCGCGGGAGTCTACGCTCTCAATTTTTCAAATTAAATTCCAGGATTCATGTATTATTAATTTTAACTTTCATTTTAATTGCACTTTTATCAGACAAATGTGAGAACGTTAGTTTTTCTTCAACCCCTTCCCCTTCTTATTTGCTTTTGTAATGTTCAAGTGAAGCATTTCCATCCTAAAAGTAAGAAAGATACCTTTACTCTTATACCACCTTGAAACCTTGTTAAAGTCAACAACAGAGGCCCCTGAAAAAGGTCATGAAAGAAGTTAATTTCTCTGGTAAGGGCAGACAACTAAATCTGCACTGGAATTGTTTGCTAAATCTGCACTGGAATTGCCCCTCTGGGTTTGATACTTCACCACTGACCAACAGTCACAATATTTTCCATATTGCTGTCTCATAGATATATCAACAGGAACTGCCACTATTTGAGGCCACATCTTGATAATTTATAAGACCCTTCATTTTCAAAGAAAATAATTCATTTATTTAAATAACAAAACAGTAAATAACACTGGAGATGAAGGCTGGGGTCCCATTTTTAAGACACTGAGAGGTGTACAGACTAAACAGGAATACCATACTTTTTTTTTTGTTCATGTGAATAATGAGCAATATGGTACCAATTGTGAAAATAGATCCATGGCAAGAACAATAACATGAATGAATTTGAAATTTGTATAACATTTATTACATCATGTCAATACAACACTGCCTGATTTACATATATGCAACTCTTCCAGTGCCTAGCACTAGGACGGACAAATAAGAATAACTCATCTTCAGCATCTGTTCAAAAATACACATCATGTTTTCTCACTGCTGGAAAACGGTAAAATAACATTTAGCTGATCACAGATTTCACCCTATACAGGGATCATGTTAACTTTTGAAACTTTCTTCTTTTTTATTTTTTTATTTTCAACAGTGAATTACTTTTCTGAACAGGTTTATTAGTTATATTATTATGTGAACATGGCACAAATTATTTTAAGTGAATATACTACTAAAATAAGAATTTCTAGATAACATGAATACAAGCTTTATATTAATGACCAAGATTAATACTGAAACATTAGCTCTGCATCTAGAAATAGCTGCACCTTAGAAAGGATTATGTTCAACACTTCTATATAAAAGTATATCACATATTTCCATGTTCATTATATGGAAACAATTTCAACTATGGACAATCTGGTGTGCAAATATCCAGAATATCCACTAGTGCAAGGCATTCAGTTTATACAATATTTAAATTTTTTTGTGCACTGTGACTAGAATATAATTTATCCCACTATTGGTACATAATGAAGCAGCAAGTGAGTAAATCCATAATAGATCTCAAGTTTATTTTCACCATTTTCTCCACAACAAAATTTTGAACACATTACTCCATAGCCATTAAATTTTTAAAATTTTGTGCACTAATTAATCCAGTACAAAAAGGCGATTAAGATTCTTAGAATATGTGATTTAGGTAATACTGTATTTATTATTAAAAATTTCCACATATTGTCATTGATAAATAAAATTTTAGAGTATACCAGTATTTCAGTTAAAATATAAACTAAATACAAACATCAAAATATTGTTATAAATTTAGTCTCCATGACAACTTAACTAAATAATTTCCTCCAGAATAATTTTATGTATTTGAAATGAGCGCACTCATCAAAACATCTTTCAATTAAGATCAATAATTTTTATTTCTTTAAAAAGTACTAAAATTATTTATCACACTAGAAAGTAAGTGACTAGGACACATTTTAAAATGAGCACAAAAATTATCTGTGTATTATGAGTAGTTTTTAAAAATTATAACATGAGATTATTTATTTGAATTTAATAATTAATTCCCAATAGAGCATGATCAATGAACATTCTCAAGAAATTATGCGAAGCTAGAAACTATTTGACAATACTGATAAATCAAATTAAACACTTTGTTAATACGAATAAAACTGTTTTTAACTAGCTCAAAACGGATCCTGTCTTGCTTACTAAATGATCTGCAACAAACAGTTAATAATATATTATTTAATATTTGGAGAGAAAAAAAAGAAGAAAGATTTGCTTATAAAACTAAGGAAGCAGTACTAGGCTTTCTGGTAAGTCTGATCACACTTTCAGACTATTGTACTATAAATTTTGGTATTTATCCCATAATACACTATTATTTTATCTATAAACTCATAGTTTCATAAATGGGCTTAATTATATTCCAAAAAGAGTATTTGTCCAAATTGTAAGAAAGAAACAAAAACTGCTCTTTTTCCTGTAGCATTACAATACTTTCTCAATACTACATTGTAGAATATGAGAAAATAAAAATAATAACAAGAGATAGTGTTTAGTTGTTTTCACTAACTTTTGAATCTCTCATTCCTAAAACACAACACATATTTTAGCACATAATAATAATAATAATAATAATAACAACAATAATAATAACAACAACAGAGCATAAACTCCATTTCACATGAACATCATCACAATCTATTCCGACTAGAACAGTACTTTTCTTTAAGCAAGTAAAATGCTTCATTGTCATAAATCAATTTCAAAAACAATATGGATTGGGTTATCAATCTGAAGAATCTTGGGCTCCAGAAGCGAGAGTTTATGTGAAAAACAGTAAAAAATACAGTAAAGGATTATTTCCGTTTAGATAAAAAAAATAAGGAAAAGTCCACACACCTTTTCAGAATACATTTAAAAAAATTGAATTGTTTTCCATTTCAGAAGAAAAAAATAATATACTCCAAAAGTCAAATGAAAAACAAATGTAGGGTTTTCCCAATTTAGTGAAATTCCCAAATATAGGTAAACAAAGCGACATTTAAAGTTAAATACTTCACTTCTCGAAAACTCTTCCATAGTTCAAGGCATCTCCATTTACTTGTGCATAAAATGTGCATTAATGGTAGTCAAACTTAAAAGGTAGATTTTTCACGAAAGTAAATCATAACTAAAATTTGCGTTACTAAAATTACAGTCCCCATTTAATTCAAGTTAAAAAAAGTTGGTCTCCAGTGAAACAAAATCAGAATTTCACTGCCGTAAGCCGAGGCAAATAATTTGAAAATTTCTACTGTCAAAATGTGTTAGAAAAATTCTGTTCCATTACAACTTTTGACAAAGATTTTTTGTTTTCAAAGAATTTACTACTCCTTGTAAGAAGTTGGGTGCTCTCAATAAAACTAGTTACACAAGTTTAAGAAGTGTCCAAATAATGACCTATTCACTATTGGCTCTTGACTGTGTCTGTGCCTGTGTTATTTGTATGTTTGAAACTGTATTGCTAAAAAAAAAAATAATTAAAATAACATTACAATAATACTGCAATTGGACTACAATTCTGAATAGCACCTAAGCATTATTTGGCCTTTCTAAATAAAAGGATTTAAGACATACAAAATTTTGTAATGCCCAAAGCATACAGTACATCAAGATATTGAATTCAATCAAAAATAATTAAAAATACTATTTTATTTAAAAACTATTTCCATGTTCATAATACACAAAATTATTTATATCAATATAAATAATAATGAACACTGAAAGTTTGTGATAAGGATTTTATAAAATAAATAACTTTGATCTAATGCTCCAGAATATCTCAAGGAAAAAACCCAAATATCTAAGCATAACCAAAATATTCTACTTTTAAAATGGGTTATGTTACATGAACCATCCATAAAATTCCATTTATTTACAATGAATTAATCACCGAGTTTACCAATTTCAATCAATTCACTCAACTTTGTTTCATTTTCTTCACAATATACCAACACTTGCTTAAATTAAAAAGAATAATACACATCATTTACTGAAGAATAATTCTTCAAAAAACTTTTTCTAAAAATTCATTAAGAAATTTGTAGCTTTGTATAAGGAAGACATTACAAGGAATGCATTTCATTTCTTCTAGTCACAAACTGCATAAAAATTAAACATTAGTTAATATTATAAATATAAAACAATAACAAGAAAAAGGAAAATATAGCAAAATAATTTTAAAACTGTCTAAAATTTTTGAACATCTGATCTTCAATATGTACGTTCAACTAACGTAACACTTCCAGTAAAAGCAGTATTAACAAGAAATGGGATCTTCAATTTTCTTTTTGTTACAATGTACCAAGTCTGCACATAGCAAAAAGATGGTTACAGCTACTTGCAAAAAGAAAAAGTATACTATTTAACAAAACATTTCACTTTTTTGACAAGTTCTTGGAATATCTTCAAAACAACAAATAATAAATTACATTGTGTTAAAAATCGAGAAAATGATGAAATTGTAAACATCATACACACACTCATAATTATTTAGGAGGAAATGCAACTGCATGAAGGCACAGCAAATTGTAAATGAGAGGTGTTGACCTGTTTCTGTTTAAATAACTCTTCACATCCATGATTCAGATAGCACATGTAATCTCTATGTCTTTTTTTTATTAATTTGTTCTCCCTTCTGACCTTCAAAACACTATTTATTGCAACTTGCAAGCTCTAAGAACAGGTAATATTTAATCAAGATCTCTAAATAAAATGTATCAACTTTAATTAATAATTGTGCGTGTGTGTTTTGATTATAAGTAATGACTGAAGAAAATACTTCCTCACCCCGTGAAATATGTTGCGGAGAATAGGACGTGGATGAATATTGTAATGATCGACATGTTTGGATAAAGATTATATATTAATTAAATATAGCATGAAACTGTCAGTTAATTTTAAAATTCATATATACTTATTTAGTACACACACCATATTAAAGTAATAATATGACGTTTCATAGAAATGTTTTCAGTGTCAACTACTGCTGCAAACATTTGTGATTTTCTGGCAGTTATTTTGTTTTGAACTGCTACCTGTTACTGTTTTCAGTCTAATCAAAAGTGATGATGCACACATGAGCTTTCAGATCTGGAAATGCAATCTTGCAACTGTAATGATCTAAATGTAATTAATATTTTGAAACATGAAATTCGGAGTTAATAACAAAAACCAAGAGTGAGGTACTTCAGCTTACTTCATTCAGAATAAGTCAGTAAACAGACATTAAAGAAGTATGTACAAATTTTGTAGCAATACAAAAAAGTAATTTTAGTAGAGACCAGCTACTTCCTAAAAGTACTTCTTTTATTTTCTCTTTGACAAATAAATGTCATGCTGTGCCTTCTCACAGTACACAAAATTGTGACTGAATTAGACCGCAATAGATGGATGGAAAGCACCAGATTTTAACTCTCCAAAACAGCCTTGAGGCCAAAAGAGGTAGAACATCTGTAGAGCTACTCTCCAGAAGCCCCAGAAGACATGTTGTTATACACCTGATTTAATTGTTGGGTGCAACGAATGAAGGTTGCACGTCTAGGTAATTCCTTGAGTTTTCCTGCTCCAGTGTAGGTGCAAGCTGAACGGAGACCACCCAGGATATCAAGCACAGTTACTTCCACATCGCCACGGTATGGCACTTCCACAGTCTTTCCTTCTGAAGACCTGTTAACAAATCACAAATTGTTTCTAGTTATGCAGACACCATGACTCACAAATTACTTATAGCTGAGCAAAAATAACACAAAACTACATGAAAGTGATACCCTGTACAGTCTGTCAAGACAAACTGTACAAATATCCAACTCCTCATACATCATATATTAAATCTATCTTTATCTCAAAACAATTTTGTCCTAATTCTCAATGGCTATTGGAGAAATCCAAAGATTTACTGAAGTATCTTCAAAAAGATCTTGGATATTTTTAAGTAGAATGGAGCAACATGTCAAAATAAGTGAAGAAAATGTAACTTATATAGCTTTTTCCTGAGAATTTGATCACTGATGTAAACTTCAATACAGAGCAGAAATATCTTTCCCTATTGATATTCATATCTTGAAATATTCCACCATCCTCACGTTAAATCAATTTTTTTACTTTGGCTCTCTATATGTTTCTTTCATAAAGTGAAGGTGTGGATGAATGCATATTTTCTGAAGACAAGTATTATTGCCTTTATTTCCACGAAAGTGTGTGTGTGTGTGCACATTTTGAACCATAATAATGCCAAATACAACTTTCTTCTTAGAACACAACAGGTACTACAAAGTATCTCCAGTTTCAGGTAGTAAACACTGTGTAAATTACTTCCTAATGAATAAAAATTACCTTTTTTTTCTGAAATTACTTGTATTTCATTTTTGAGTGAATATAATTTTTGGCAAAGTTGGACTGCTATTACTACTGCTAAGATATCATTAATTCCCAAGAGTTTCAGTTATATCTCAGATATTCTGCCCAATATCAATGAAATGTGTTATGTTAAGAGTTTATTTTTATTGACTTTTTTTCTAGTAAATGAAAAGGTGCAAAATGATATTATCACTAGATTGGATATTTAAATTTCACCTGTATTCAGCAACACCTCCAGCATGTTTCTCCATAGCTGTTGCTGATGACATGCCATAAAATAATTTAAATTTTCTACCATTCTTGACAATCACATCACCAGCGCATTGGTCATGACCTGCCAGCATGCCTCCAATCATAACAAAATCTGCTCCAGCCCCAAAAGCTTTAGCCACATCTCCAGGACATGTGCAACCACCATCCTAAGAAATAATAAATAATGAGATGTCAGTCAAACATACAAGGTATTCCAAATGTTGTGAACAACCTGATCGCTGATGAGAATAATTCACAAATGTTAAACTTGAGTGGAATTGAGGATTAATTCAATAATAATAGTCTGCCTTTTACAAATGTGTGACAACTAAAAACTTCGCTCTTTGGAATACTAATGAAAAAGAAAGTAAGAAAGGGAACTCAACAAATCTGTAAAATTAATTCACACACACAACTGAGTACCCTCTCTCATTGTTTTTCATTAAATCTTTGAATCAGCAAAATATGTATATTAACTAACAGTGTACATATAACCCACATACAATTATCACATAACCTGACTGTGTTACCCACAGTCAGATCTTTCCCAGACCACCTGCGACAAGTGGGGTGTCATTTAATCTGTTTACTGGTAGGAGAGTGACCACTTTTCAAAAGATATTTTTAGAAGAGTAAAGAGAACTCTCAAAAACACTTTTCCAAGATCCTTTTTAAGACAGAGGTGATTAATGGCCCATTTGATTCCTCACAAAACAAACTGGTAATAAAAATACTACCTTATACAATACTCTGGTAGAATTTTTAAAACTTCTTGTTTTGGGGAGTTTAATGACGCCTACAGTGGTGAAACATTGAATTACTATACTGCATTTTCAGAATAACTTGAATTGACTTGATTCACCAATAATTAAAACTTCCATACTACAATTATTAACATTTCTACCAACACTACAAGCTAGGCAACTAACTGTATTCTTTTTGTTATGAAAATACATGTCACACATAAATATTCTTAACATGAAAACATCCACTGGAATTGCCATGCATGTCTTGAGTGTACATATTATAATTGTATTTATAAATGGTTAAAGTAGGGTTCACGGTACACCCTCAGAGAAACTTTGTGGCCGGGTGTGTGTCTCCTTAAGCCCTAATTACTCTACATGCTCTGAAACAAAGGAATAAAGCTTACGGATAGGTGAGTTTCATGGTTTGCCCTTTATATGCTTTGTCCCCACCGCATTGCCAATTTACTTACAAAGGCAAGGTCTCTCGCTTCGCTCACCCAGACCCAAGTCACAGCAAGGTTTGGGCCTTCGGCCCTAGTGTTCACTATAAACATCAAGGCTATCCACTGCATAATTACCAATTCACTTTTATAAGAAATCACTTTTCATGAAAGCCTCCAGAATTCTAACTGCCTAGTTAATTCCGGATGCTGCAAAGAGACAGTTTAAATGCCTTCTGTAAGTTTTACCGTTTACTACACTTACTACACAGTCTCAAAGGGAATTGATTAATTAATTAAATCCCCACAATTCATATCAAAGAATGCTATCTCAGACACCTTTTTTGCAATTTATTCACTTAATCTTATCATTTCAGAATAATTGGATTCCTGTATAATCAAACCCTTAAAATTCTACTGTGAACCCTTAAAATTCTACATTTAGGAAACAAAAATAAAATGTTTTAACATCTTATTCTTAAGTTTTAAACATTTTTAAGTATACATATTTTGATATTTATTTTTTGTTAGTAATTCTACTTTAGGCAAATCCATCAATCTATCAAAATTTAATCTTATAATTAGTAGTCAGCCTTTAAGAGCTAAGAAAACTATGAAGAGACTTGCCGAAATTATATGACCCTGCAAACCATGAGCAGCATCAGCACACTCAATGACAGCACTCAGCTGAGGAAAGCCAACACCCGTCTTCATGCGAGTCGTGCATACAGAACCCGGGCCAATGCCCACTTTGATGATATCGGCTCCAGAGAGAATAAGTTCCTCCACCATCTCTCCAGTCACAACATTGCCAGCCTAATAATAGAAGAAGAATAGGGAAAGAGAAGATTTCAGCCCATTTAGCAAAATTTCTCTTCAAGTCTCAGAATTATATGGTTAACCTCTTCACAATCACTTCTGACATTTGTTACCACGCATTATACTTACAATTATTGTGTGAGTTGGGAATGCTGCACGAACTTTCCTCACATATTCAACGAAATGCTGGGAATAGCCATTTGCAACATCCAAACAAATGAATGTAATTTCAGGAATTTCAGTAAGTATTTGAGAAAGGCGATCAAAATCGCCTTGACCAGTGCCCGAACTCGCAGCTATGTAATTAAGGCAATCAGGGTTCTTTGAAGCAAATTCTTTCCATTCATCTATGCTGTAATACTTGTGCACAGTTGTGAACAGCCCATGCTGTAAACATCACCAATGATGGTTTCATACATGACAGCTTATTTAGGTCCATCTCCACAAATAAAAATCTTATTATTAGGAATCACAAAAGATAGGTCAGTGTATTTTTAACAACCAGGTCAATGTGTAATTGGATCACATTACTGACCTTCAGAAGTAGATGGGCTTGCAGGTTGGATGGATACAAGGCAATAATACCAAACAATTACTGACATCTAAATTTACGCCTACATAGAGTACTTACAATGTTACCCACCTTAGCTAACGCAATCGCCATTTCAAACGTACCGACCGTATCCATATTCGATGCCATGACAGGTATACCTTTGTATGTTTGTTTAGAATTTCTGAATTTTATCTCCCGATAAAGGTCCACCTGTCACACACAAGAAACAGACATTATAGATCTCTATGAAACACAATAGGTCAACCGTATCCATGTTATACTTACATCTGCCCTACTACGTAAAGTACTCCTTTTAGGGCGCAACAAGACATCCTTAAAATCGAGCTTCACGTCGTTTATGATGTTCGGCATGGTAAATTGGTTGAACCGACCACACTGAAATTTTTTATTCGCACAACCTGCACGTCAGAGTGGTCTGATTTTCATATATTTGTTAAATCTTACAGAGACCTCGCTTGTCAGCGTCCTTTCTAAGCAACGTACATAGAATAAGCAACCAGCCCGCCGAACTGCTGACTTCAACATGCACCAGCTGCGTCCAAATCAATGATTCGAGTCATCCAAGACTGCAGACTTGCCTGCGACCATCTTTTTTCAAGATTCTCCTTTTCACATGCAACCGCGGCGATATCTCCACCCCTCTTTGCGGCGCTCCATATTCCCCCTCCATTCGTCCACCACTCCCTTTCTCAATATGGCTGCCATTGCTGCAGTAACAGCTGACGACAGCCGTGCCAAGAGGCGTTGTGGGCGGTAGTGGGGACAGTGGTTTCGTATTTTTGAGTGGTTAGAGAGAATCGGAGAAAGCACTTATGAAATTGACTATACTATGCGACAGATTAAACAGTTAAATAAAATGAATTCAAGAGATTATACTGCGCTTGCCTGGCTTCTCCCATAGGCTCTACAGCTCTCCTGGCAACCATGACCCCCTTAATTCCATTCTAAATTGGACATGCATTATCCAGTTAATAATTCCAATCTTCCTAATATCTTTTAAAATATCATCTTCTCATCCAGTTTTGGGCTTAACCTTTGCTCTTATTTCCAATTGAGATTAATATAGATACTATAAAATATTCAATATATAATTAATAGCTGGGCTATAAGACAACCGGAGAGCGCGAGAAGAAATGTAATATCATTATACGATAGACACACACACACAAATTCCGGGCGCCAGGCCAATCGTCGTCCGGTGTAGCTGAGGGATGGGCGAATTTGAATTGGTATCCTATCAACCCCCTCGAGAATTAACTCCAGGGAGTGTCGGCCGTATGAAACGGCAAGCATTTAGTGTTAAATTCGGGTCTTAGAGGAGAAGTGAATTCCCCCCAAAATTGAAAACTGACCTTCGAAAATTGCAGGTAAATTTTAATATATATTATAATTTCATTGCTTTTTTCAATGATTCGGTTCTTTTCGTTTTCTTGTAAACCTTTTCAACAATAAACGCAACTAGTCATTGCAACATTCTGCGTATGTCATGCTAACTTCTATGAACATTATTACTATCTACATTCCTGTGAATGTCGTCGATCACTGTGCCATCCCGTTCATTTCTGATGGTTTGCTGATAAGCAGAGCTCGGATTCTGATGACGTGTCATCTTCTCATTAATATATTGTAGATGTAGCTAACTTGAAAATGAATGTTTATCACAACACATAAGTGATAGAAATGTATAATTATTGGGTCGCTTTTGTCATTTGTACGCATTTTATTAACAACTCAGTGAACCAATTACACGGAATTCAGTAACTTTCTCGACCTTTCAGAACTGACGGTTGGAAGATCGGCGCTAAGCAGGGGCGGATCCAGACGATCTTTTCTTTTAGGAGGGCATCGTAGATATTAATTTCTCGTATACGTACGTATATACGGAGTAATGTGCATAGTATAGAGATAGTTATGTCATGCTGCGAAAAATCGATTTCAAGATTTCAACGGAAATACACATTTTGGAGTCCCCTGATACCGAAAGAGTGATTTTTTTCAAAACGTCCGTCCTGTCAGTTCGTCCGTTTGTGAACAATACTAATGCCTAATCCAAACAGCTCAAAAAACTCATTGTCATTTTTATTTCTCACGTCTTTAATATGCACATTTACAGCAATTTTTACACTCTATTCCATTTGTGACCGGGAGTGCTTCAAATTACTTCTAATGAACTTTTTCGAAAACTCAGTAGTTTTCTGTGAAAACTTTTCAAATTTCGCAGTCACGGTTGACACATTTTTAAAAAAAATAGCTATAACTTTTTCAATGAAAAGTTCCATATAGGACGAGGTTTTACTCACCTTTAAAATTCTTAAAGTAACAATTAATTTCAACTATTAGGAAACCGAAAATTTGGGAGACAATAAAAAAAGGTTCTTTGGGCGGCTTAAATGGAAGCAGGCGAGAGAATGTGACCGATAGCTAGCCGATACCAAAGGAAATCGAAAACTAAGTGCCATTTTGTAGCACTACTAGTTTTAAATCTCTCACACCGTTAACAGGCACATATTCAGAGATTTGTAAACACTATTACATCTGTAAGTTAAAGTACCTCCAGTGACTTCACATAAAGTTTTTCGAAAACTCAAAACTTTTCTTCCAGGCAAAGTGGAAAAGGCTTCAAATTCGCTCAAATGCCATTTTCTTAAAATAGATTCAGTTGATTTATAGGTTCATTGATTTTCCTAGCATGTCAACTGCTGGTCATTAGTAGAGGCGGAAATTCGGATCTTTTAATGGCGGGGGCAAATTTGGGCACTGTTATTAATATGAAAATATGCGTTTATATTAATGATTTATGTTAATTGTGCTGCAATTATATACATTGTTATCTATTTTGTTAATTATTTTATTATTTTTTGTTGAATGTCATTAATTAGATTAGTTGAGCACAGAAGTGGCGTGTGGTATTTTTTAAAAAATGGTGTCAACTGTGACTGAGAAAGTTGAACACACACATGCGCACGCTCTCTCTCTCTCTCTCTCTCTCTTCTCTCTCTCCTCTCTCTTCTCTCTCTCTCTCTCTCTCTCTCTCTCTCACTCACCCCCACACACACACAACACACCACACACAACACCACACACCCACCACCACACACCATATATATATATATAATGATATATATATATATATATATATTATATTATATATATATAATGCGATATGAACTTTCCGCACTTTTATAAAGTACATTTTTCAATGATATCGTTGATATTAATTGTTTGGAGGGGTGGCTCCTAAATGTGTGAGGGCTTACAGCCCCTGCATCTCTGCCTTACATTCGACCCTCAAATTATTTTGTCTCAAAATAATTTTAGTGTTTGAAGCACAAACGTATATTTTTTTAACATTTTCTAGACTTTCTGTAATTTCTGTAGAGTCGTGGTAGACACGTTCTATTTTTGAAGAACTAGTTTAATTTTCCCTGTATTGCTTTGGTTGCAGAATCATAGTTCTCTACCTCGACAAACAGTAACTTATGATTTCAAAGCTATTACGGGAAGGAATGACTGCAAGAACCAGTAATTTTCCACAAAGTGATGACGCATGGCAACGATTTCGATTGTTTTGTAAACATTCGATGAGCGTTGAAAGACAAAACCATCTCTAGAAAGTTCAGAAAGGTTATAT